ACATATAGTTGATAGATACCTCATGATCACTTATGCATGGAACTATAGTATAGGCACAGGAAACGGCTAATTTAATCACACCCTCCCGGCCTGCACACGCACACAGGATCTATACAGCGTGACATCCCATGACCGTATTGACCATCTGTTTCCTGTTCTTCTGCACATTTTCAACTCACTATTTCTTTCCAACAAAGAAACACAGAAACTGACACAGACAATTTCAAAAGACATTCATTTAAAGTATTGCCACTAGGGCAACTTTATCCACGAATAAAGTGTTTTGTGCCTTTCTATGCTCGATGTGTTTTATGTAATCGATGGAGTTTAATCAATGTTTTATAACCCCTTTTAGTAAATACAATTTATTAACATGTATGCAAGATACCTGATGTTTGATGTTGAACGAAAGCTTGTTTTATTTCCAAAATGTTGGTGAATGAAATCTTGATATTCGGTATATACAAATGTCACAACACTTTATAGAAGTATCAACAAAATCTTCTAGGACATTTTCTCCACGTGATGAATTGAACAGCATGATAATTTATGCACGAAAAGGAACCGTACGGGGCGTGGCTAAGCCCTGCACAGCGTCTGATAGGGACAATCGCTTCTGGGATGGACCAAATCAGTTGGCTTAAAACCAAATGTCACGAACTGATTCAGGGCTTTTTCGCCTGTGTTCGACTGCGCTCCAATTTGCGCTCACACGCTGCACCGTCAAGCGATTGGATCATCCAATAATTCTCAAACCTTCCGTTGAAACTTCGTGACTCTGCAGAAATCTTGAAAGTCTAAAGCCAGGCAAAGAAACTCTCAGAAGAACTTCAAGCATCACTCTCCGTACCTAAGGCAACCGACTTCCGAAGCTCCTACGTCACAAGGCAAACCTCCATTCACCACTAGGGCTCTCCCAAAAATACGTCATCCAAACGACAGCTCGGCAACCAATCAGAGGCGCCGGGATTCCCTGGGACAAGCCAACGAGGAAAACCCCTCTCAACTCTCAACTCAAATGCACGTAAACAAACAAGGTCTCCTCACTAGCTGGAAAACTGGTGCTGAATTGATCTTATGCAGTAAATATAAGCCAATCTCTGCTTTTGTGATTTTCTTGGTGTGATCTAAGAACGAATAACTTACTAGGCTTTTGGGACTTCAGCCAAACTCCGTAAATCCTCATGCTTTGAACCGTATGTGTATGTGTCTGTGTGCTTTTTGTAGTTTTAGTTCCATGTAATCTAGATTAGCAAATAAATTCTTGTTTCATTATAAGAATCATTGTCTTGTGTTGTGTATTTAAAGTTAAAACTTTGCCCAGATCTTGCTACCTAGCTTGTAGCTTAATACTCATCACTAACAGTTATTATGACAGTGGCCAGGACATAATATAAATATCCAAATTGTTAAGATTGAGTGGAAGCTGGTGGAGCTACTCAGGGAGGACATCAAACTCCAGAGAGAGACAGAGGAGAGAAGAGCACAGGAGAGCAAGGAGAGAATGGAGAGACAATAAATTATTTATTAACCCTTCTCTCAAGAAGAGAAAACAGTGGAAAAAATGGGTACATTACAATTTTTCAATATCTTTTTTTAAATGTTGCATTGTCAATCAAACAACCTAATTTCTGTAGTTTATTTTTGTGATGTAAGTTCAAAATGAAATGAATAAGTTGTATACATTATTCATTTTTGTAGTGTAATTTATTTGTGAATGAGCCTGAGTACTTTCTGTAAATTTTGTATTTTTGTTTTGCATATTTACGTGTAAATAAAAGAGAAGTAATTATGTACATTGTTATTTTTTTAATGCAGCTTATAATTTTTTCACAAAAAATTCTTCTATACGTTTTTTTACACATTAAAACAAATTGTTCTATACATTACTGAAAGTACTTTTTAAAACTATTTACAACATACTATTTACAACATAGCTTAGGTTTAACATCAGAAAAAACAACATCAG